CACCTCTCCCTTTCCCGCCTTCCCCTGCTCACCCGCAAGGAGCCAGATTTGGCCCCCACCTCCTGCTGCTGCTGGCTTCCCCTCCTCACCCCAGCTGACTCATCCCCTCTCCTTGTTTGGCGGTTCCAGTTTTCAAATAGTTGGGAACTGGGATCATGCCTCTTCTTGGATGCCTTGCTGGGCTGGATGGATTGAAGTTCTAGCTTCATAAATCCTGGCCCCAGCGGCCTCTGTCACTTCACTTTCCCCCTCTCCTGCTGTTTGCCTTCCTGCGACCCTTGGGCCTGAAGAACAGAGACCTTGGAGTTTCCTGAGGCCAGACCAGGGTCTTCTCTCAGCCCCGGGACCTCTAGGGGCTCCTCCCCAGGGACCCCAGTCACCTAAATCGTCAGCCAGTGCTCAGCGAGCGCGCATGTCTTCTCTTGATTAAAAACCGCCACCCTGTCTTGAGCCAAGCCCCACATGGGGCTCTCTCCCAGCGGGCATTATTGCATATAATCCCAGGAATCTCAAGGTTGGCATTATTTTTGCCATTTTGCAGAGGGGGAAACTGAGGCACAGCAGGGACATGGTTGGCCCAATTCATCCATCTCTTATGTGGCACAGCTGGAAGTGGGGCCCAGGTTGTCTGTTTCCAAAGCTGTCATCCCTCCTTCTGTGGATCCAGCCGGCTGGTGTAGAGAGAGGACAGTCAGGGAGGGCTGGCACAGGCAGGACAGGCTACACGGAGGAGGTGGACTGGGCTGGCCTTGGCAGAGGGTACAGCAAACTACGTATCTGCCATGTGGGCTTATCTCGTTCCGACTCCAAGGGCTCGGGTGCCTTTTGCCCCTTGGCCTCCATCCCAACTTAGTGATAACATTCCCCCGGGAGATGGATTTGGCTTTCCCTGGGACTGAGACCCCTGGGAACGTGGATCTTTCTCAGTCAGGTCCCAAGCTCCCCGTGGGACCTGCGCCTTTTGCCATTTGGAATTCAGTAAATTTTTGCCAAACGGGGCTCGCTCGGAACCAGCCTGTGCCTACCTCCATCCCAGGGACCTTCGTGGAAGATAAAGCACAGACCACATGGCCCATCGGGGAGGCATAATCTACACGTAAGTCCCAAACTGAGTCATCCGAGCATCCCTGCGCAGTGCAAGAGTCAGGAATTTTCCCATTCATTCATTCATTCATTGCCTGAGGACCTACTGTGTGCTAGGCATCAAGCTAGGTGTTTTATCTGCATTGTCAACTTTCCCATGTAGTTGGGATTCTACCTCCTTTTCCCATGAAGAAGCAGCTCCGTGGAGAGCCGTGACTTGCCCAAGATCACACAGCCAGGTGCGGAGGAAGGTGGGAGTGGAATCCACATCTGTCAGTCCTCCCGGGAGAAGTGAGAGACAGGGTCCCTCCTCTCCGGGGTCCCTGGGTCTTAGAGAGGCAGGACCCATGAATCAGAAGCACCCAGTGCAACTCAAAGTGCAGACAGAAACAGGTTGCCAGGGAAGGAAAAGATGGATTTCGTGCCTGGAAGACCTTGCGGAGGCAGCGGGGCCTAAAGAGCCTAGAGGATTTGGCTGGTGGGGGAGGAAGGCATCCGGGGCAAGGGGCCAGAAGTCATCTGTCCCCATTGTCCCTGGATTCACATTGTTGTCAAGTGTGTGGGCAGGAAGGCCCAGGCCTGCTGCTGGAGTCATTAACACGAGGAAAAGAATGAAAGGAAGCCACCAAGCTAGCTGAGGTGACATCCATCTCGGGTCCCCACCCTTTACCTGGCCAGACCAGGAGGCTGGAGGTCAAGGCCCCTGGCTGCCACTTAGCTGCCAGTCAACTGCTGACCCTCTTTCCTGGACTTGATTTTTCTATCCACGAAATGGATTCCTTTCTTTCTCTTTGGCCCCCCGCCAACCCAGAGGAGCGGGAGTGTTGAGTCCTTGGAGAAAACCACTGGCTTCCCCTCAAGGGATGGTGGTACACCATTCTTCAGAGCCTCCCCTGTGACCAGTCCCACATCGTCCCTCACACTACCAGCACCCAGGTGCCAGGCCCTGAACGAGGGAACCAGATGGGGAAGGTGGCTGTCTGCTCCCTTAGACCTCACCTGTCCTTTCCGATGCACCTGAGATCCCTTCTGCAGCGGCCTGCCCACATGGGTTTCCCTCGGGGACCTGCGGCTGAGCTAACGACAGGGGAGCCGTCAGTGTTTAGTGACTGAGCATTAGCTTTGGGGGTCACGGGACTCCTATACTCCTCCTTGCCCTGCCTGTGTGATCCGGGACAAGTCTCCGACTTCTCTGAGCTTCATGTCCCCCGGAGGCAAAATGGGGCCATTCATTCATCCAGCAAACTTTTATGGAGTGCCAGCCCTAGGCCAGGCCCTGTGTTAGGTATAAACCAGCCAGGGGGGTGGGGAGGGGGCTGATGGAGCTTTATATTCTGAGAGGGAGGCCCTCTGGGTGCTCCACTGGTCCATACGAGGTGTGGGCAGGGGTGGGGGGAGAGGTGTGCAAGAGCGGCCACGTGGCCTCTGGGAGATGATCTGGAGTCTTTGTGACTTTGTCTAAGCCCGCATTTGTTTGTAGTGACTTTGCAGCCTGTTCTCCTTGTGGAAAGAGGGGACCCGGGGACACGGCTCCCCTGGGCTAGGGCAGGCGAGAAGACCCATAGGGCTGGAGAAGAGAGCAGGCTGGTTTTGTTGGGCATTTCAGATGAGCTCGTGGGTGTGGAAAATCACCGGGGTTATTTATGCTGAGACTGATTAATTTAGGAGAAATGGAAGCCCGGGTGTGGGGCTCTGTGATGTTAGGCTGGATGAAGGGGGCGGGCCTGAAGCTCGAGGCAAAGGGAGGCAGAGACCAGCTCTGGCCTGGATTTGATTTGAAAGGGTTAAGTCAGCCCAGTGTTCTACCTCCTGGGTAGGGGGAGGTGAGGTGGGGATCTGGGAAGGGATGGCTGGGGCAGGAATGTGTGATAAGATCAAAGCTTTCAGCCTGCCCAGGCCTCACCTTGGTTTCACCTGAGCAACTTAAGGAAATTCTCCCCTTGGAGGAGGAGGAGGCTGGAGAACTCCTGGCGGAGGGGGTTGCAGGTCCCACCCTCCTCCCTTGGGCACTCCGAAAGAGGTCCCGCCCCCATCTTCCAGAAGGCTCAGCTCTTGCCCTGACAGGTGCTGGTAGCCCCAGGGACCACCTTTACTTGGTACATCCAGACTGGGGTGGGGGGCCTTCCTCTTTACCACTCCTACCCCTACAGCTCTCTCACCCTGGGGGTTTCTGGCCAGAACTTGGGGAGCTCTTTCAGTGGCCTCTTGGCCCCCCCATCCATTAATTCTCCATTTAACTCTGCAGGTTGTACTCAGGGATAGTGTCATAGACAGGAGGCACAGCCATGAGTCTTGTCCTGGTTCCATCACTTACTGCTCTGTGTCGCTGGGCGGGTGGCTGAACCTCTCTGAACCTCATCTGTCAGCTGGGAATGGCAGTACCTTCTTGGTGGGATTTTGGGGAAGACGAGAGATCATGTAAATCTCCTACAGCCAGAAGAGACCGTCGACAAATAACAGGAACCACTCTTTTGTTGTTTTCTTTTGCCCCCTTTGAAGATGACCCCTGGCACTTGGCCATAGGTAAACATGGAGACTCCATTTGTCCTGCCCCCTCCTCCCCTGCCCTCTGAGAAGGTCCCAAGCCTCAGAGTCCATCCTTCTGTCCAGCACTCTTCACTATGGGTCTTCACGGTGTGGAGGGGAGTGGGGCAGGACAGATTGTAAGGGAAGAGGGGGCCTGGACTCTTGTAAATGCCCTCAGGGCATTAGCCTGGCCACCTGTCCTAGTGACACCAGGTTGAGCTTTCCTGGCCAGCCCGAGTCAGCCAGGTGGTCCAGGCTCCCCCCTGGAGACCCCTCCGTGCCCCAGCCTCCACCCGGGCTCCTGCCTCCGCTCAGTGCCTTGGTTCTGCTACAGTTAATGATTATTCTGGGCAGCAGGGGACTGGGAGGCCCGCCCTCTCAGCGCCTTAACCACTGGTTGCACCCGAGGTATGTTAGCAAGCGGCTTGGGTGTTCCCTGCTTTAATGTGGCAGCCCAGCTCTGAGGCACGTGGAGGGGGGCTGGAGGGGGAGCAGGCAGTAGGGTCTTAGAGTCACAGATTGACAGGCCAGCCTGTGCCCCTGGGGCCCAGGCTTAGGGCCCATAGGATCTGGGTGAAATGTGAGGTACGCATCATAGGCCCCCGTGCTTTGGTGCCAGCCGTGTCCGTACAGTCACACATCAGGTGAGCAAGGCCCCCAGCCCAGAAGAAGCCTTGTGCTCTTCCTCACCCAGGCTCAGACGCCCCCACCCCCCCGCACCTGGGGAGTCCCAGCTGGAAGGCGGTGTGAGGGTTAGGGCTTAGGGGCAGCTGGGCTTGGCTTCTGACCCGCACTCTTGTACCTGGGGCTGTGTGACCCTGGGCGTGTCACTTTACCTTTCCGAGTACCGATGTCCTCATCTGAAACAAGAGAGTACTAATGCCTACTTTGTGGGTGTCTGCGAGCCAATGGGTGGAGAGTATGTAACTCATAATTAATAGCCGGGGAAGGGAAGAAATTATTACTGTTGTAGTGTTTGTTATTAGGAGAAAGTGAAAGTTGAACCCTGGTCTTTGGTAAAACCAGGGCAGCCGTGGCCCATGGGTGTTGGGCCCATGGCTGGGGCATCTGGGAGGAGGCGGGGGATGGGGAGGTCCCGGGAACTTGTTTGAAGAGGACATGTATGAGAAGGCTGGCTGGCTGGAGAGAACAGGGCTCTGGCAGGCTCTCTGGGTCTCCCCCAGGCCCCCTCCGTGCCCCCCCTTCCCCATCTCCTGGGTCCTGAGGTTGGTGCAGGCTAAGTGGGGGAGGAGGGAGAAGCGTTTATTTTGATAACATTAGGGCATATTCCCCCACTGGCAGCTGCTATTTTGGGAGCCCCGGAGAGCAGGGGCTATGGTTAAATTAGGTAATGTTGCTCCAGAAGGAATGTGTGAAGCCGCGGGGCCGAGGCCGCGGTGAGAGGACAGTGGGTTTGTGCCATATAAAATTAACTGCAACTTGGAGAAGAGCGGCTCGGGCCACTTTATAAGGCGATGGAAGGGGGAGGTCTCAGGGGGAGTGGAGGTGATGGCCCAGGACCTCGTTTGGGGGCGTCTGGGCCCGTGCCCAGAGGCCTGGCTGGCCCAGCAGGGGCTGGCGATGTGGCTGGAGGGGTAGGGCTGCTGTGTGCTCAGCTCTGTGCCTCTGGCTGCTGCTCCAGGCGGGTGGGGCCTGGGGTGGCGTGATGCATGGGGAAGATGGATCCGCAGACTTGGCCGTGAATCCTGCTTCTGCCTCCTTCTAGCCTTCTGTACTTGGGCAAGTCACTGGAAGCAAACCTTAGTATTCTCAGTGGTGAAAACGGTTCCAGCCCCCTGGAGATGTTTCTTAAGGACTGAATCTCTAGAAAAAAAGCAGAGCTAACTTTTATTATAACCAGTGCAAGGTGGTGTTCTGACTCCGGGGATGGTCCACACACCAGCCGCTGGGCCTCACCCACACCTACTGAGTCGGTGCAGGTGTGCTAGCAGGATTCCCAAGAGACCCCCTAGGATTCCTGTTCATAGTGAAGCTGGTCTCATTTTTTTTTTTTTTAAGATTTATTTATCTGACAGACAGAGAGATCACAAATAGGCAGAGAGGCAGGCAGAGAGAGAGGGAGAAGCAGACTCCCTGCCAAGCAGAGAGCCCAATGCGGGGCTCGATCCCAGGACCCTGAGATCATGACCTGAGCCAAAGGCAGAGGCTTAACCCACTGAGCCACCCAGGTGGCCCATGCTGGTTTCATTTTATCTTGAACACCATCCCTGTGATGTGAGAATTACTGTAATCTGTTGCGAAAACTGAGGCGTGGAGAGATGGCCGGCATAGAAGCTCCATCCATATTCATTCTTTTTACCAATTCTGCCCCTTCTGCCCCTTCTGCCCCTCCTGCCCCTCTTTTGGGCTGAGCCAGGGCTGGGGAGAGGTACATCAAAGTTCCTGGCGGGACTGCAGAAAGACAAGAGTATGGCCTGCCTTTGCGATTTAATTAGACTCTCTTATTTCCGTGCACCACTGGGGTCAGCACAGCTGGACAGAGGTCACTCCAAAGTCATTCCATACTTCCTGTCCTTGGAGAAAGACTGGGGCAGGAAAGGGCTTCTCTACCGATCTACCCATGTGCCCTGTGGTACGGACAGTGGCCACTGCCTGACAGGTTAGGGGATCAGAGCAGGGACTGCTCGGGGTCACCCTGTGTATTACTGGTACATTTGAGACTGATTTCATCCAGCAGCAAGTATTTTGAGGAACACTTACTATGTGCCCAGCCCTGGGGAAGCATCCTAAATTTTCCCTAGTTCTACAGACTCTTTATTATCCAGAAATAAAAATGTTACTATTTATTTCTCTACCACTTATCCCACGCCACACACTTGCATTATCTCTTTCATCTATTAAATACCATGGCCTGTTTCTTCTTCTTCTATAAAATGAGGATAGTAATAATAACACCGAGCTCATAGAATTGTTATGAAGATAATATCTGTCAAGTGCCTGGCACATAGGGTTTGTTAAATACATATGATAAGTACAAATAATCTCCCAAAAAGCAGGTCCTATTGCTGCCTTCCATTTTACAGATGTGCAAACTGAGGTCCAGAGTAAGAAGGATACTTTCCCATTGGGATTGCAGGAGATGAGGGCAGAGCCATAAGAAATTGAGTCCCTGAATTTCTGAGTCACTATTCTAATGCAACTCACTTTGATAAATGCTGGTTTCTTATCCACTAGTTGCTGCTCAGCATTGGGACATATCTTAAAGTTAAAATATATGTAAAAGGTGAGAAGACCCATCCTGGTGTTTGTTCCCAAGGAACATTGGTTCCGCAGGAGAGTAAAGATATTTACTCAAATGGCTGTAATTAAGACCAAATCTCTAGCCCTGTCAAAGGTAGGGATTAAGTTCTGTGGATATGTGGGGGGGAAGATGTCTTTGTGGGGGGTTCCAGAAGACTTCAGAGTGGAGGTGATAATTTAGCAAGGCCTTGAAGGACCAACGAGTAGATTAAATTGGGAGGCATAGGAACAGCTTTCTAGGAGGGGGGAACAGCCTTCACAAAGGCCTAGAGATAGGAAATGTGCCCTGTGAAAGCCAGTGCCATTCAGGGGTCTGGGGCTGTGTGGCATCTGTGGCGATAAGGCCTGGAAGGCCAAGTCCAGCTTTCTTGTCATTGAAGATTTCCATTTTTTCTCGAACACTGGCTCCTTAGCCAGCAGGGATTATTCCATCATCATTTTCGCTTTTCTTCATGTCAAGAAATCAGACTTTATAAATGGCTTGTCTGAGTTTCTGGTCAATGTGTGATAACGGGCCTAGCTAACAGAATTCAAGCCAAAAGCAAGAGACTTGATGCCCTGATTAACTGGGCAGCCTGATCGCCTACACATGTACAATTTCCGTGAGTCTTTTCCAGCATTGACAATAACCCTGGGTGGGGAGCCCAGCGGAAAGGCCAGGCCTGGGTTCTGGTTTCCCCTCTGTGGCTTGCCAGCTGTGTGGCCTTGGGCAAGCCTCAGTTTCCTCCTTTGCAGGGCAGAGACAGCTCTCCCTCCAGGCTTGCTTTGAAGGATTGGTGATGGTGTGATCTGCGCTGCCCAGTAAGATGGCCCTAGCCACAGGTGATGACTTAATAAGTCTAAGATTTAGTTAAATAAAATAAAATTTAAGTTTTCAATAAAAAATTTCATTTCTCCATTGCCTCAGCACATTTCAGGTGCTCAGTAACCACAGGGGGTTCATGGCTACCTCACTGGACAGGGTAAACAGAACATTTCCATCACTGCAGAAAGTTCTATTCGGTGGCCTTGTGCACTGGGTAAGGGTGGCTATTGTCACTGTTACTGATTCCCCTTCCCAGCTTGGAGCCCCCCAGGCTGTGGAGGCCGGAGAGACCCCTGAGCCTTGACAGAGGTGGGACAGGATTGTCCGTCTGTGCCTTCCGCACTTTCTCCTCAGCTCCCAGGGAGCTCTCCCTGTCCCTCCCCTGACTCCATCCGTAATGGTAAAAAGGCTCCCCTTCCCCCTTAATTTCCCACCCACTCCCCTCAGCTGCCTCTGCAGATCTGCCTGTTCAGATGCTGGCATCTGGAATGTCCATGTCCGGCCTCTGAGATTCCCACTGCCCATTCCTGGGGCGTGAAGGTGCGTGCGGAGGCCTCCCCTGGCAGTCCCCTGCTCCCAGCGGAGGTGCCTGGGCCCCTCTCGGCAGGACGGAGATGATGGTTTGTTGTGACGGGGGCAGTGGGCAGCCTGCCCGCTCTAACACTCCCGTATCTGGGCGCCAAGCATGTTGTTTGCACTTGGCCGGGCCTCAGGGTCTGGCCCAGTGCCCTCGAGGGCTGGCCTAGTATGTCACCCCTGGTCACAAAGGCAGATCGTGGGCCTCCGACTGGTCAGGACACCAGGAGCTGTTCCTGGGCTGTGTCCTGGGGATGAGGGGCACATCTGGAGCTGGAGTGCAGGACCGATTCCCGGCTGCTGCTGGCCCATGGGTGCTGCCCGGGGACAAGGCCCTGGGCAGGCATAGGCAGGGCGGACACTGTTGGGGGCCAGGCAGGAGGTCACCCTGGGCAGTTCGGGTTGGTAGGGTCTCCACGGGGCATTTACACCTGTCTAGGGAGGAGCTCGGGGTCACCTCTGATTATCACGTTCTGTCCTCCCCCTCCCATTGGCCCCTTCCCTCATCACCCGGGAAGTGGACAAGCAGGCCTCTCAGGCCCACGAGTGCTGAGGCCACTGAGGCCCAACAAGGAGGTGTGACGCCTGACATCACACAGCCAGTCTAGAGCAGTCGGGACTCCGGCTTGGACACCTCACGTGCTTTTCCCCATCCTGCCCCTCCCCGTGGGAGTCCTGGGAATGGTAGGTAGCCCCTGGATATCTTGCTGAGAAAGATGGTTGGAATCCTGGCCCTGCCACTTTTTCCGTGACCTTGGGCAAGCCTCTTGGAGCCTCCTCCTGGGCCTCATCCGGGGAATGGGGATAATAATTATACCTCATTCTCGGGGCAGTTGTAAAGATTAGGCAACTGGCCCTCTGGCTGTTTTCAGAACATTCTAAGGATACTCCTGCCTTGGGGCCTAGACAGCCATGACTCCCTGTCCCCAGAGTGCCCTTCCCCTGTGCCCTAGTTTTCGTCACATCGCAGTCCCCTTCCCTAATCGGCCTGTGTAAAACAGGGGCCTCACCCACGACAGTCCTGGTCCTCCTCGCCCTGCTGTGTTTTTCTTCACAGCACCCTCACCCTTTGACAACTAACAGTTTATGGTCCCGTTGACTCCCCAGTCGAGTGTCGCCTCCATGAGGGCAGAAAACACGCGTGGCTCGTGACACCCACGCACGTTAACAGTTACAGGTTCCCTCCCTTCCTCTTCCCGGTCCTTCTGATCACAGCCGTTTCTCGGGCCCTGGCTCTAGGCCAGGACCTGTGCTCCGTGAGTTTCTGCGGGTCCCCGTGACAGCTTTGTCACTCATCTGAGTGGCAGGAGGTGCTGCGGTGACTCGCCCAAGGTGAGCCAGCTGGAAAGTGGCAGAGCCGGGCTTCCAGCTGGGTTAGTCTTGCCCGAAGCGCTCACTGCACCACTTTCTGGGTTGGGCTAACAAGATCAGAACTTTCACCCAGGTTTGGAGCGCAGGATCTCTATTTGTCAGGAGTGAATGGATCAGACTTAAGGGGGGCACTCCATCTTTTGGGGTGCTCCTTCCAGCCCTTTCTTCTCCTTTGGTTGGTCAAGTACAGCCATTCCCACTGCCCTAGAATGGCAGGTACCCTTTGGCTGGGGAGCCCCAGAGGTCAACTGGAAACCCCAGGGGTAGGGTAGAGACCCCGGGGGGGGGGGGGAGTTCAGGTCCTGGGCTGTCCCTTGGCTGTCCGGGGGCAGTGGACAGGGTGTTCACGCAGGCAGCAGACATTCCTGGTCGGAGGTGGCGGGCAGCGGGAGATTTACCATTTCCGGTAACCCGAGTCCCTGGGAGATTGAGTTCTCCCTGCCAAGGACGTGCACCCTTGGCTTGCCAGCCCTTCCTGCCCTTGCCTCGGCCTTGGTCTGCCTGGGGCTGAGGACCTGTTGGAGGGAGCTGCTGAAAGTCCCAGAGGTTGAGATAGTAGGGGTCTCAGGCCTCCATCAGCCCCTGGCAAAGACCCAGCCTAATGCCACCCTCCCAGAGCCCTCTGCTGTGGAGCCCCACACCCCAGCCTTGAGGACGAGGGGGAGGGAGGTGACATGATGGAAGGAGAAGGGCCATGGTTTAGGAGCCAGAGACCTGGGTCCTGGGTCTGCCTCTGCCATCGGCTTGCTAGAATTGCTCTTCTTGGAGCCCCCGTAAGCTGTCTGAGTACCCAGCACTATTCTAAGTACTCTACATACACCATCCATCTTATCCTTGTAACAGCAGTTGGGGGTGGGGGACGGTCACTGAAATGAAGCTCAAAGGGGGAAAGTCCCCCAGTGGGCAGTGTCACAGAATAGGATTTGAATTCAGGCTTTTCAGCACTGGCTGGTCCTCCTTGATGCCCTCGCTTGCCCTCTCTGAGCTCTTTTTTGGCTTCCCCTCCCAATCAAAAGTGAGGGCTTTGGGCTAGGTGATCCCTTCCAGCCCTGGCAGAACAGGACCCAGGAATCTGTTGGAAGGCTTCCCAGGCACATTTCGTTTGAGCCTTACCTCGCCCATGGGGGGTGAGGGGGTCATAGCAGGAATTATTCTTCCATGGGGGTTTCTGGAGAGCTCATTATCTGGGCCTGTGAGCCCTTGGACGAGGGGGTGGGAGTAGGAGCGGAGGAAAGGGAGAAGGTGACAAGCTGTCCTGTTAAGTCTTCATAGCAGTCTTGTAAGGTGGTCATTTTTATTCCTATTATACAGATTGGAAAATAGAGGTTCAGAGGGGTCAAGGGATTTGCCCAGGGCTACACAACGAGGAAGTTGCCAGCCTAGGGTGTCCAGTCAGTTCCAAGTGGTTTGGGGTGGCACGTGACCAACACACATTTCCTAAGCTGGCTTTCTTTGATTTATTAATACAATGAAAATAATAGCCTTCCCGAAAAAAACCGTGAACATGCCCCAGGCTTTAAATACTTGTACATCCACACTACATCTCCCAGGCTGCCTCTGACACCTGGAAAGGGCCCAGAGATCCTTTGTTAAGCTGCTTCTCCACATACGCCTTGGAAAATATGGCCGGGCATAATTATAGGGATGCAAGAGTTCAGAGGAGCTGGGCCACGTGGGCTGGAACGAACTGGAAAGGGTTGGCACTGTGCTGGGAGCTGAGGGGCCTAGGGTGGAGCCAGGCAAGGCCAGGTTCACAGGCTCCAAGAAGCCTCCCTGAAGGGCCTGCCACCCTGGCCATTTGCCAAGAACACCACGGGGCCTCTCCCGGGACCCCCTGCCCACTCGGCCCTGCCCATCCACCCCTCCCAATGGGGCATCAACCAGGATCCAGCTAAGGCATCTTGAGCCCACAGACCTTTGCTCCAGTCCCTCCCCCTCCCCACTTCCCCAGGAACTGGGTAAAGGGCTGCAGGAATGAGGCCTGCATCCTGGCCAGTGGGCCCAGCAGGGCCAGGGACCCTGGGATTTGAACAGTTGGCAGCAAGAGGACTGAGATGACCCCAGCCAGCCTGCTCCCACCCCCCTCCTGCTGTGGGGCCCTTGGCCCTGAGGCCCCAGCAGCTGTCAGCAGGCAAGGGTGACAGAAGAGGGCCAGAGGTGACTTTTCAGCCCGCCCCTTCTCCCCCTGCTTGGACCAGGCCCAGAATTCTTACCAGCTGTTGTCAACAGCTGCTAAACTTTGTTCCAGAGCCAGCCCTGGGCACCCCCCCCGCCCCGCCTCCCCTCTGAAGGACATCTTCCCACCATCTTTCGTAGCCACTGCCCCTGGGGAGGGGTCGGGTCTAATATGGGTGACATGGTCACATTCCAGGGTTCCTTTGATCCTATGAACACACAAAGAAATAGGAATTAATGCCCCCATTTTATGGAAGAGAAAATAGATCCAGAGAGGCCAAGAGGCTTCCTTGAAATCACACAGCTACTGCGTGGCTGTATCTAGGATCCTGGCTCCGGGTTCAGTGTCCATCCCACGGCCTTTCTTCAGAGTGTGTTGTGCAGAATGGTAGAAACTTCTTGAGGTTCCTGGGTCTGACTATCATCTTGGCTACTTAGTAGTTTCAGGACCCGAGGCAGGATCCTTTTTTTTTTAATTTATTTAAGTAATCTCTGTAGCCAACATGGGACTCAAACTTACAACCCTGAGATCCCAAGTTACACCCTCCACCAGCTGAGCCAGCCAGGCACCCTTCCAGGCAACTCCTTAACCACTTGTAGTGGAACGCTCATGTTCTTGCTTATAAAATAAGAATAGGATTTACCTCTTGGGATTATTGAACAAATTACATGAGAGAATCAATGTTAAGTACTTAGCCTAAGTCCTGGAGTGTTCTAAGGACCCAAAATGAGATCTGGCAATGTTATCGTGGCTCTTTGGGGGCTCCAGACACATTCCACAAATACTTATATCGGTTAATAAATATTTATTTGGTACCTACTGTGTGCTAGGTGCTAGAAAAAGAGCAGTGACGAAATAAACAAAATCACCGTCCCTGCTTACATTCTGTCCCACGCAGTGCTGGGGAGACACAGCTTCATCTTAACCACAGAAGCCACCAAGCTCTTGTACACACACTGCCCTATTAGCCACATTCTCAGATGAGAAAATGGACTGAGACCAGTGGCAAAGCAGAGCCCAGGACCCAGCTCTCCCGGGGGTCTTGGGCAGTGGCCCTGAGGGCTTCCTGGAGGAGGGGGCACTTGCACTGCCTCCCTCAGGGCCTCAAGGACTGGCAGGAGAGGTTGGGATGCGGCTACCACAGTCTGGGCAGCAACAATTTCAGGAAGGTCTTGCCTAGGTCAAGGCCTCTTGTTCCCCAGGGAAGAGGTCCAGCCAGAGCTGTAAATACCCCCATGCAGCCCAGAATAGCCCCCATTGTCTTGGCCTGCAGCTGGGGGACCGTGGAGGATGCTGAGGAGAGGCTGATCCTGGAGCAGGAGGACGTCTTCCCTATATGGTAGGGCTGGTGTTTCTGGGAAGACTTTTCCATTTGGCTCCTGCGAGAAAGCCTGCAGGAGGGAAGGGCGGAGCACTGCCTGGTTCTGCGTGAGCAACGTGCTAGCTGGCGGGGGAGCTCCGTGGGTGGGGGACTCCCAGGGAGGGCTGTGTGCCTGAGTAAAGGTGCTCCTTTGTGCGCCAGGGTTGTGTGTGCTGGCCCACTGGGCCCTCCACTGTGGGCAGGCCTAGCCATGTCCCCTGCCCAGGGCCTCTTGGCACCCTCTGGTGCTCTGGCTATTTTGGGCACTGGCTGTGTTCAGGTTTGGGGAGGGATGGGTAGTCCTGCCCAGGGCCAGGGATGCTGGCCAGGCACCCTCTGGACGGCCGTTCCAGCCTCCTGGATCTTTGATGGCTATAGCCTCTGCCCCAGACTTCAGCCTCGATGGGTGACGGTCAGTGGACCCCTATGGGATGCCAGCCCAACTGGCAAGGGCAAAGAAGAGCGCCAGACCATCCTTGCCCTTGGGACGTTCCCTGCTCTCAGTATCAGGAATAGTTGTGCTTCCTCTAAGCAACGGGTTTATTTTGACCTCAGTGGGACACGGAGTCCAGGAACTGGTCAGGTTTCCTTCTTCCCATTGGCCACTGGAAAGCTCAGAGCCAAATGAATGGTTGCTTTCCCAGACCTCCAGAACTCGGCACGTATTCTCTATCTACTCACCGCACTCTAGACTGTCCGTCTGCTTTTGTGAGCTTCTCTTATGTGCGTGTAGTTCATTCTCTCCTGCCCTTCTTGGTGCTTCTTTGTAGGCTGCTTTGAGTTTTTCTGGAAGAGGGAGGTGATGATGGTGATGATGGTGACCCCGTTCTGGGCAGTCCCCTGCAGCCCAATGCTTAAGGCTTGGTTCTCACTTTGTGATTTCCTCTGCCAGCCCCTCCCTCTTTGCTGGTGGAAGTCATAGCCTAGAATTCTAGAAACCTAAGATTTCAGGATGTCAGTGTCCTCAAATGTCAAAGCCAGAAGGAAGCTTTGGCATCATCTACGTTGAGAGCTTTCAAACTTACTATTGAGCAGCGAAACCCTTATGCCAATCAAAATAATAGTATTTTGGTTAAATCCTGCAATATTTTGATAAGTAACAACAAACACAGGACATTTCCCATGGGCTAGTGCTATTTGTAGCATTTGGCATTTTTATCTCATCCTTACAACAGTCGCATGAGGTAGATACTGTTAATATGAACTTTTGTGCCCATTTTACAGATGAGGAACAGAGGCACAGTGGGGTAAAGGGACCTGCTTTCAGCTAACCAGGGGCTACACCAGTGGTACTATGCAGAAGGCCGTCATGTAAAATGGGAAAGGGTGGGTATGTTTTCACTGAAGCGAGTATTTGAGAGAGGGGACTCATATTCTCTGTACGTCTACCCTGGGCAACCCACTTTCTGAGGTGTCCCCCAAGGCTGCTGAGACCCAAGACTGGAAAGCAGTGATGTAGGCCAGCTTCATCATTTGACAGAGGGAAGCTGAGGCCTGGAGAGGGGAAGGGGCTTACCCCAGACAGTGGGCTGAGCCGGAAGCCCCTTTCTCAGTCCCTCCTGGACTGCTCTGCCCCTGGGAGAGCCCAACAGCTAAACTTTCCCTTAGAACACTCAGCTCCCTGTCTCTCGTAGGCACAGGGATCCTCTGACCTTCTGCATGGTCCTAGGGAACCAGGAGCGACCAGACACGGGGCCATCCTCTGTGTGTCCCCTCAAACAGGACTCATCTCCTGAGAGGGCAGGCTGATGGCCAGGGAGGAAAGGGGCAGGTTCCATCTCGCTTTTCTTAGACTTCGACAGTGTTTCTCCCCAAGGAGAGGACATACCCCCACTTCTGGTCGCCTGGCCTGACTTTCCTCTATCAGCCCTTCATTGCATAGGGCCTCGGGGCTTTCTGTCTCCAAGAGCTCCCTTTTCAAAAGCCCTGTGGTGGGCGCCTGGGTGGCTCAGTGGGTTAAGCCTCTGCCTTCGGCTCAGGTCATGATCTCAGGGTCCTGGGATCGAGGCCCACATCGGGCTCTCTGCTCGGCGGGGAGCCTGCTTTCTCCTCTCTCTCTCTATGCCTACCTCTCTGCATACTTGTGATCTCTCTCTCTGTTTCAAATAAATAAAATCTTTAAAAAAAAAAAAAAAAGCCCTGTGGCAGTGGTGGGCCGTATCTTACATCCAAAGCCTCACTGAGGGAAAGGGGTCGGTTTGGTGCTCCCAGTATGTGCTTTGTGGAACCCTAGTGCCATGAGCATGAAGAAAGGGTTCCAAGTTAAGCAAGCTTGGGAAACAGTAAATAGTTGCCCCCTTCCCTCTTCAGGGTGCTCGGGACACTGAGGACTCAGGGAACCAGCCCAACTTTGTGTAACTAGCCTTTCCCAGATAGGTTGGAATGCAGGACCCTCCCACCGTGTCCAGTTACTGTGCCTTGGAATGGACATTAGTCATGAGGAAAGGGGACAGGGGCACTTCAAAAGGAAGGAATGGGCCCTTCCTTTTATTTCCAGCTCTGTTGCCCTCCCCACCCCACCCCCCAGGCCCATCTTCAGTCATGGGCTCGGCCCTTCCTCCCCGTCCAGGAAGCAGATGAGGAAAACCCAGAGGGGGCAGGGGGAGTTGGCCTCCTTGGCCGCAAAGAGCAGCCATTCCAGCCTGTTTTTTCCCTGTTGCTGATGGCCACAGGAGCGAGCGGGACCAGAGTCCCCGAGGCCTGGTAGCCCGGCTGGCCTGGTGCAAGGCTCTCGAGCTGGAGCCATGGCCCTGCTGGCCTCTGAGACCCTCACCAGCCCCCTGGGATGCTGGTCTGGGCAGGGAGCAGGTCTCTGCTCAGTGACCAAGGGCAGAGTCTTGTTCCCTCAGAAATGGGCCCCTTGGCCGGAAGGCCTCAGGCATCAGAGATGGCAGGAGGAGGGCTCCAGGAGTACAGTGTTCCTGGTTGGGAACCGGGGAGGGGTCTGGCTCCCAGCCTTGGCTCTTCCAGCTCTGGGACTCTGGGTAAGCCGTCTTCCTAAGACTAAGTCTCTTCATTTATAAACTCCATCCATTCGTTAACTTAAAAAGAGCTAGTGAGCAGCCACTCGGTGCCGGGTACTTGTAGGTACTGGGGATATGGACAAAGTCACTGCTTTTGGGGAGCTGATGTTCTGGTGGGGGTGACAGATGATAAACAGGTAAACATGTAAACATGGGTAGAATGTAGGTGGTGAGGTGCTGTGAAGCAGGGCAAGGGAAGTGACAGAGAGCTGACTAGTAGATTCTGCACCTGGGATGTGGTCTGGGTCTCTGTAAAGGTGACATGTGAGCAGAAACAAGAGGAAGAGGAGGAGTGGGCACAGGTGGGGGCGGTGTTCCAGGTAGAGAATGTAGCAAGTGCAAAGGCCCTGAGATAGAGTTAGGTGTGTTTGAAACCCATTCAGATAAGTGTGGCAGGGAGTGGGGAGAGCACAGC